ACCAAACCTTTTAAATCTAAAATTGTATGTGTGTTGCACTCATGTTCTTTTGCTTGCTACCACAGTCACATCTGCAACCGTGATTGATCAGTTATGATCTGCTGATGATTTGGTCTCCAAATCTTAAAATGAAAGCCATAATAACCATGATTCTGTAGAACACCTTCAGCACCAGGCTGTTTCCCTCATTCTGGAATAAAACATTTTTCTCTTATTTATGTGTTAATAAAAGTGTGGTTTTAGTCATCCCCCTCCCCTGGAACACACTAAAAACAGTTTTACTATCTACCTCAGAAGTGACTTATCAGACATTTATCCCAATACCACCAAATGTAATCTTGATTCTTTCATAATAACTCCCTATTTTAAAAAATCATGGTATTCTTCTTTATACAATCAATAACTTTTATCATGAAATGTAAAACTTTCTGGGAAAAGAAGTTTGTTTTTGTTGTTTTTCCCCCCTAGTGGAAACAATGGAAAAGAGATGATTGATAAGAATCACAAAGATGTAGTAATTATGAACATAGGGCCTCGGGTCCAGCAGATTGATTAGATGGATGACAAAATTTTGTCTCTCATACTTTGGGCATGTTACCTGGAAAGGCGATTCCTTTGAGAATATATCATGCTTGGAAAGGTGGAGGCATGCAGCAAAAGTGAGAAAGACCCTCAATGAAACAGATTGACATAGTGACTGTAACAATGAGTTCAACTGTGTCAGAGATGATAGGATGGGATAGCACAGGATAGGATGGGTTCAGACCTGTTTACATAGAGGTACTAAGAGTCCTACCCAACAGGACAGCACCTAACAATAACTCAGCTAGGCAAATTACGGAGCTTCTCTATGTCTCAGTTCCTACACCTGTAAAATAAGGATGCTAATAGACTTGACCCAGAGGTGAGGATCTTTGTTTTCTTGATGTTGAGATACAATCCACATTGAAGGCATGGACTGCAAAGATAACAAACAGATCCATCCTGGAAAGGATGTAACCAGTTTGCTCCTTGGAGGCAAGGATTTTTGAAGTTCTGGATCACATACTGGGAAAGGGCATCATGCTTGGAAGGGTATAGGGTCAGGGCAGAGGAGGAAGACCCTGGATGAGATGGACTGACACAGTGACTGTGGCAATGGGGTCAAGTGTGTCAGAATGGTGAGGTTGGCTCAGGATAGAGCCATTGTCCATTGGGTCGCTCTAAGTCATAGTTGATTTGATGGCACATAACAACAATGGTACTCACCCCAATGTATTGTTTCGATACTTTAGGTACTTAATGCATGTGCTTTCCACACAGTAACTGTTCAATAAATGCTACCTAAGTAAAATGGAAACTTTGAGACACATGCACTTCCAATCACAGCATCATTTCATTTTAAAAATAACTTTAAAATCCACTTACTTTGAGAACTCTAAGAACAGCAGAAATATTTTCACTAACAAATGAACTTAGAAAAGCAAAAACTCTGACAAAATACAGTATCAGCAGAACTACTTTCTAATTTTTTTTCAGCTTATTTTTCCATTGTTGCATAAAATTGAGATGGAACGAACTTCTAGCAGGTTTTGTCACTGTTGTTGTTAGAAGCTGTATAGTATAGTACAGTATAGATTCGGAGTGACCCTATGACCAGCCAATGTGAACATATCCTATGCCATGCTCCTCATCTCTGACACAGTGGAGCCCATTGCTGAAGTCACCGTGTCAACCCATAATCTCATTGCAGGTTTTAAGAGATGGTTAACTTCACAAGAAGAGATTGCCCATCCTTCTCTCATGGAGCAGCTAGTGAATTTGAACTGCACACCTTTTCATTGGCAGTGCAATTCCTTACCAAAGAGTCAGCAATTTGCAATGATCTGAGAAATCCTTTTAAATACTGCTAAACTCCAGATTTCTGGACCCATGGAGTTAGGGCAACATACCCCAAACCATTTGCTCTTAGATTTCTTTCTGAACTTTGAGCCTCAGCTCAGGGAAATGGTTTTTCTAGATTTATCTTCCAGTCAAACTAACAGCCTAGAAAGCCATTTAGTGGAGGCTGTTCTGCACTGGGAATTGAGCTCTTGTGAAGGACTATCCATGTACAGCCAAACTGGAGAAACAGCAAGTCCAAGGTCTGCTCATAGAAAGCTGTATTTTCGGAGAGATGGCATGTCCTTAGTGAAATCTGTTTTTCTCAGCTGACTGGCCCTGAAATCCTGCCTGTTTTCTGAGAAACCAACATGGACAATGTCCCATAGGAAACTACCCTGCTCAAGTGCCCTGATACACCATTCCACCCTCAGAGCTTCTCCCCAACAACTTTTGGTTAAGGCTTCCCAATTCAAGTCATATCTGCTCTATTCTGTTACATTAATTTCTGATGGTTTTTCTTTCTCTCTCTGTGTGTGTTTGTGTGTGTATGTGCATTTAGATTTTGTAACAGCTCTAGAATAGAAACAATCTTTAATTTTCATGTTTTTTAAAAAGTCTTCAGGCTAAAGAAAATTTTTTAAAAGCTTTATAGGAAAAGTGTGCATTAATCTCTTCAAACTGAAAATCAATTCATCCACAATCAACACTCTTGACACCAGCAGTCAGGAAATCAAAAGATGAATTGCATTGGGAATATCTGCTGTCATGGCCCTCTCCAGAGTGCTGAAGAGCAGCGATGTTGGTCTGGATATGGAAGTGCACCTGATCTAGGCCATCTCAATTGCTTGCTATGCCTCAGAGAGTTGGACAGTGGCTGGGGATGACAGAAGAAGAATAGATACCCTTGAGTTGTGGTGGTGGAGAGGAGTTTTGAACATACCGTGGACTGTCAGGAAAACAAATAGGTCTGTCTTGGAGAGGGTGAAACCAAGTCTCTCCTTGGACATTAGGATTCTGAAGCTCTGCCTCACTTACTTTGGGCACATGGTCAGGAGAGATCGGTCTTTGGATAAGGACATCATGCTTGGAAGGGTAGACAGATGGCACAGGAGAGGGAGATGGATTGATGCAGTGACTGGGGCAATGGGGACTGGTGTGTTGGAATTAGTGAGACTGGCTCAGGGCAGGGCAGGTTCAGCGCTGCCGTACATAGGGTTGCTATACATCGCAGGCACATAACATACTATGTCCTGTTTGGAAGCAGGAGTGGCATCCACTTCCTAAATAACATGCCTCTAGAAACTCTATGATCTTTGATAAATGCTGACAGTTGTAGAGGTGCTTCAGGCCTTTTGTTCATAGGGTCGCTATGAGTCATGTTTGACTTAGAGGCAATCAACAACAACTATATAAATTGAGGTCTCCTATATATCATAAATTCAAGTGAAATTCAAACTCATTGCTATTGATCTAATTCCAACTCATATTGATCACAAGGCTGTGTGCAGTCAGAACTGACTCAGGGCTGACTCGTCAGCAGGTTTCCAAGGCTGTAAATCACACAGGAGGACATGGCTCATTTTTCTCCGAAGGAGCAGCTGGTGGGATTAGGAACTGTACATTTATACAGTTATCTTTAATTACAATTTATATGACCATTCTGAGCATATCTGCCTCTTGTCTAAGACAAACTTCCCTTGACTAATTTACCTAAGAAAAGGCATAGTGCTAGAAAATGACATGCAATTTAGAAACAAATGCAAAAATATAGATTAATATAACAAAGATTCTATCTTTCCATTATGTAAATACATGAATTCACCAAATTAATGTTTCCAGGAGGATTCATGATCTAATAATAAGCTCTATTTTTTTCATATTCCTAACTATTAAGTATAAATAACGTTTTCTTTTCACATAATGACTTACAGCTACAATAAAGAATTTACCACACATTGCAGAAATGCTATTATTATATTAACAATAGTTAGGCTATAGAGCTATCACTCTTGTGACAAACAGTTCTCATTACAAAACCCAACAGATACTTATTGTTGTTTGTTGAAACCGACCCACAGCTGACCCTCCAGCAGGTTTTCAGAGGCAGTTAATTGAGGAGATTGTCCATCCTTTTCTCGCAGAGCAGCTGGTAGCCTTGAACCAAGTGCGTCACGTTTACAGTGTAGCTTCTTGACACTAGGCCACCAGCTGCTACAACACATACCTATTCCTCCTATGTTGAAGGTAACATGCAGGCAAAGCTAATTTCCTATGCTTCACTATATCACTCGAAGACATTTTAAATCATTGCATCTTAAATATATTGCCTTTAGGAATTAACATAGGAAGCAGTTTACTTTTCCTGAGACAAGGTAGTAACTAAACTCCTCTTTGATAGATATACAAAGTTGTTCTTGTTAAGTGCCATCGAGTTGAGTACAACTCATATCTACCCTATGAACAAAAGAAGAGAACCCTGTTCTATAACTCTCGTCATTTCTCTATGTTCACAGTTTCCAGAGGCATGTGGTTTAGGAAGTGAATGCTACTCCTGCTTCCAAAAAAGTTAGAAATTGTTTTATTACACAATTAGCTTTAAGATCACTTTAAATAAAGCACCAAAATGAAGAGATGTGTTTAAAAGAGTAAATGTTTTAAAACATGTAAAACTTCTAAGCTGCGTTATTTAACTTCTACATACTTCAGAATACATCTCTAAGTAAAATAATAGCATTCTGACTAAATCATCAATATATTCAATATAATTAATAATTTTTGTTTTTATCTAGTACCCAGATACTACATTTCATCTAAAAAAAAAGTATTTTTCTATATGGTTTGTTAAAATCAAGATCTAAATAAAGTACTTGTTATCTTTTTTGTCTTGGATAACCTGGGATAGAAATGTCATTCTTGCATTGTTAGCAAACCCATGAGGAAAGTGAGAATTAGAAGAAAGGTGCTGAGATCTGTTTTGAATATGCTGAGTTTAAGGATCCTGTGAGGCATACAAGAAGTGATGTCCATTGGGAAATCGAGTTTGCTGAAGGCAACAAGTTTAGATAAATGTACAAAGGTTATAGCAATTCAGAGAGCTAGGAGAGGCAATGGGAGAGAGCAATATTACCACTTCTTACCTATATGGCTTCTGACTTCCATTCGTAGAACTGAGTTCACTGGCATATAGTGGATCTTGTAACAGAGTACCTTTCTGAAACAGGGAAATAGATAAATTGTATGAACTAAAATGTATATGAATTACTGTATAAAACACAATGTGCATTAATGAAACAGGGTATACAAAGGATTGTATACAAGCCAATCAAAAAACTATTTTTTTTAAAAAGTTTTCAGTGAGGAGAAAAAAACAAATGAAGAGGTATTGCCGAGATAGAAATTCAGTCAGCTCCCTGCAATGAAGTAGTCACCAGTGACAAATGACTTGATGGATTTGGAGTTCTAGTGAGGCTTTGAGCCCTGCCTTGCCCTGCCAAGCTTTCCTCTGACTGGGTGCCTTAGGAGAATGCATGCCTGCAATTCTCAGAATCATGGGATGAGCCATGTAATACATTTTTAGCATCTTATACTTGAGCAAACCGAAGTGCTGGTAGGTTAAAACACTTCCCCAGGGGCACAAGGCTGGGAAGTTGGAGTAATAGATTTGAGCTAAGAGCGGAGTTTACATTCTTAACACTACTCATTATAAAAGCATTAATAGCCTTAATGCTTTGTCTAATTGAATTAACATGGTCACCCAAGTATTATTATTAACTTTGTTTGACAAGTGCTTGCTTGGCTTTTTACCTCCTGAATATTTCTTAGGATAGTTTCACACTTTAAATTTATTCTTACTGTTTTCATTCAAGTCATTCGCTAATGTATCACTTCTCATGGAATGCATGTGTTTTTATGCATCCATGTTTTCAATAAATACGTGAGTCCTCTGGTGTAAAAAAATCTGTTCTGTATATAGATTGAAAGGGTATGGAGATAGAATGTTTCTTTGATGCACACCTTTCCTGATCCTGAACCATGCAGTGTTTCCCTGCTCTGTTCTGAGGATTGCTTCCTGGTCCAAGTATAGATTTCACATGAGCACAATTAAGTGTTCTGGGATTCCCATTCTTCTCAAGGTTAGTTACAATTTGTTGTGATCCATACAGTCAATGAAACAGAAATTCCTCTGATACTCTCTACTTTTGGCCAAGATCTATCTAACATTGGCTATAATCCCTAATGCCATGGCCTCTTCTATCTAATCTATATACAGAACAGATCATTTGTGAGGCTGACTTTATGAGGAAGGATGTGGCATCAGGATTGGAAAAAGACTTATCAACAGCCTGCGTCATGCAGATGAAACAACCTTGCTTGCTGAAACTAAGTAGGTCAAGGACTGTAGTCTTCAATATAGATTGAAGCTCCACATCAATAAAACAAAGATTCTCACCACTGGGCCAAATGGCAGTTTCATGATAGATGGTGAAGAGATTGAGATTGTCACAAATTTCAGCTTGCTTGGTTTCACAATCAACTCTCTTGGCACCAGCAGTCAGGAAATCAGAAAACAAATCGCATTAGGAAACTCTGCTGTTAGGGACCTCTCTACAGTATTGAAGAGCAATGATGTCAGTCTGATACAAATCATGGTCTTGACAATTACTTTCTATGCATCAGAGAGCTGGACAATGACTCAGGATGATAGAAAATAATCGATGCTTTTGAGTTATGATGCTGAACAAGAAGAGTGTTGAACTTACTTGGACTATGAGGAGAATAAACAGGTCAGTCCAGGAAAGAGTGAAACCAAACCAAACTGCTCCCTAGAGGCAAGGATTTTGAAGCTCTAACTTATATTTTTTTTTGGCACGTGGCCAGGAGGGACAAATGCTTGGAGAGGACATCATGCTTAAAAAGATGGAGGGACAGCACATGAGAGGAAGCCCCAGGATGAAATGTATTGACTCAGTGACTGGAGAAATGGGATTAGGTCTGCTGGAGGTGGTAAGACTGGTTCAGGACAGGGCAGGGTTCAGAGCTGTTGTACATAAGGTACCTAAGAGTTGCAGGCGACTGGATGGCACATAAAAACAAGGTGGTATAAAAAACAACCCCACAGAACTGATCCTGTTGTAGTGGACAGATCTCTAAATGGAAATCTGCTTTACCCATAAACTTATTATATCCTTTTTTAAAAGTGACTTAAAACATTTTTGCCTCTGTTTCTTCAATTACAAAATAAGAGACTCGGACTAAGTGATTTTTTATTAAATGGTCTTGAGACAGAAAAGCCAGAGCCAGATCTCAAGGAAGATGTCTGCTGTTAGGTCAGAAAACTACAAGGCCGATATTTTCCTCTTGTAAAACATGCACATAGCCTATTGCAGAAAGTACTTGTTACTGTTGCTACGTGCCACCAAGTCTACTGGGACTCAGCAACCCTATGAACAGAAGATCCAAATGATGCCCTATCCTATCCTATCCTCTCAATCTCTTTCACACTCAAGCCCATCGTGTCAATCCATCTTGTTGAGAGAGTCTTTCTCTCTTGCTGATTCTCTACTTTCCTAATATGATATTTTTTTCCCAAGGAGTGGCCACTCCTGAAAATATACTCAAAGTAGGTGAGGTAAGTTTCACCATCCTTGCCTCTTAGGAGCACCTCGGACAAAGTTCAGATCTATTGTTCCTAGGGTGGCTTTGAGTTGTACTCGATAGCACTGAACAACAACTACCTTTCCCAGCAAAGTATCTCCCTCTAAGGTCTAGTTCCTCTTGAAAATAAGCCCAAAATAATGAGACAAAGTTTTACCATCCTCTTAGGAGTACTCTGGTTATACTTCCTTCAAGACAGATTTGCTTGTTCTTTAGACAGCCATTGGTATATTTAGTACTGTTTTCAAACACAATAATTCAAAGGCATTGATTCTTCTTCTGTCTTATTCATTGTCAAACTTTCAGATGCATAGGAAGCAAATGAAAACACCAAAGTTTGTATCAGGCATTCCTGAATCCTTTAAATGGATATCCTTGATCTTTAGCACTTTGGAAACGTCTTCGACAGTAGATTTCTTCGATGCAACACGTCTTGGTTTCTTGACTGCTGCTACCAAGGATGTTGATTGTGGTTCCAAGTAAAATGAAACCACTGACAACGTCAATCTTTTTCCATCTATCATGATGCTCCTATAGGTTCAATGGTGAGGATTTTTGTTATTTTTATTTGAGATGTAACCCATATTGAAGGCTGTAGATTTTTATCTTCTTCATCAAGTGTTTCAAGTCTTCTTCACTTCTTGCAAGCAAGACTGTGTCATCTGCATAATGCAGTTTTATGAATGAATCTTCTTCCAGTCCTGATGCCACATTCTTCTTCATCTAGTCCAATTTATCAAATTATTTTCTCAGTATACAAATTGAATACAAATGAAGACGGGATACAGCCCTGATGCATACCATTACTGATTTTAATCTATGCAGTATTTTCTTGTTCTGTTGGACAACTGTATCCAGGTCTATGTGTAGGCTTTGCATAAGAACAATTAAGTGTTACAGGATTCCTATTTTTCTCAATGTTAGGCATAGCTTGTTATGACCTATACAGTCAATGCATACTCAATAAAACATGATATATTTCTGGTATTCTTTACTTTCAATCAAGATCTACCTAACATAACCCTTCTGCCACAGCCTCTTCTGAATTCAGCTTGATTCTGGCAGTTTCCTATTGATATACTGTTCCAACCATTTTTAATTATCTTCAGCAAGATTTTACTTTACTTTTACTCAATATAGAGTATGGGAGAATGGGAACATATATAGATCTATATTAGTCAGTTTGTCAGGTAGCTGTGTCCCACATTTGTTGACCACATGCTACTTCCTGAAATAACTCAATGTCAACTAATTCTTTGTGATATAGTGGCTCTATGTATTCCTTCTATCTTCTTTTGATGCTTCTGAATCATTCAAGATTTTGCCCATAGAATACTTCAATATTGCAACTTGAGGCTTGAATTTGTTCTTCAGTTCTTTTGTTGTTGTTCTTGTTAGTACCATCGAGTCGTAGATGACTCATAGTGACCCCTATGAATGAATACTTGTATAACTTTCATCATTTCTCCATGTTCATAGAATTTCCAGAGGCAAGCCACTTGAGAAGTGGATTTCACTCCTCTTTCCAAGCTTGTTTTAACTGGGAAGCTCCACCAAACACTGTCCACCATGGGTAACCATTATCACATTTGACACATCAGTGTCACAGTGTTCAGCATCACAGCAACTACAAGTACTTCTGTACAGCAAATGGACAGACAAGTGATATTGTTTGACCAAAAACAATTAAAACTAGCCTGAGGGCCACAGATTAAAATCACTCACTCTTGGCTTAGTAGCATAACTTTCTCAACAGAGCTTTCTCGATGTTGTTGTTGTTGTTATTATTATTGTTAAGTGTCATTGAGTCATAGACGACTCATAGTGACCCTATGAACAAAAGACCTGAACACTTGTATAACTTTAATCAGTTCTTTTAGTTTGAGAAATACAGAACATGCTCTTCCCTTTTGATTTTCTAACTCCAGCTCCTTGCATATTTAATTATAATGCTTCATTTGTTTTCTCATGCTGCCTTTTGATCTTTTGTTAAGAAATAAAAAGAAAAGACTAATAGTAGGAAAATATGACCATGGTGACAGAAATAAGGTTGGCGATTGCATGACAGAATTTTGTACAAGGAATGATTTATTCAATACAAATACTTTTATAAAAATACATAAACGGTGACTATATACATGGGCTTTCCACACAATCTGTGGAAAGAGACATTGGAGAAGCTCAGAATCAGTATTCAAAACCAGGATAGAGATTGAATGTAGAACGGACCATCAACTGCATCTGAGTATATACAAGTTTAAATTGAAGTTTAAGAAAAATTATACAAGTGCACAAAATTCAAAATATGACCTTTAATATGTCACATCTGGATTTTAAAACCATTTTAAAAATAGATTTGACTTATTGGGCACTAATAAACAAAAGCCAGATGAGTTTTGGAATGGTATCAAAGACATCAACCATGAAGAAAGCAAAAGGGCATTACAGAAGCAGGGAAGAAAGAAATGGTCAAAATGGATGTCCGAAGAGGCTTTTAAAATTGCATTAGGACAAAAAGAAGTCAAACAAGGGGAAGGAATGCGGAAGTAAGAGAGCTGATCAGAAGATTTACAGCCTCTGAAAATTCTCTGGAGAGTCAGCTGAGTTAGCTCTGACTTGACAGCACATAACAACAACAACTACAAAGACCACTTTGTAATCAAGTATTTGAAAATAAACTTGTCTCCATTCTTGTACACGATTCCCATGAGACAGGCCAATGATTCCATTGTTTACCAGTTTCTAAAAAAAACAAAGAT